GCAGGATTTGAGATTTTATTCTCCCTGTACCTTTTTGCAGCTGCAAATAAACTTTTCTGTTTCTCCACCCCGTTGTGATTATTGGGTGTAGCACACCGGGTAACGAACCACTCAAGCTGTTGTTCAGCCTCTCGGCACTGGGTGCCGGCAACAAGGTGATCTTGCCTGATTGTGGGAGCCATGGTCAAGAACAGGTACCAAGGGCTGAAGCCAGCTGTAGACTCGGGATTGGCTGAAACTGAGGTCTGAGGACTGGCTGTGCATGAGAAACAGGATCAGAGTCTGTAGACAAGCCGAATCAGGATCGGAGCTAGAGTCTGGATGCAGGCCGAAGCTGAGCTGGAGTCAGTTTGAGGGGCTGGGGGTCCGGAGGCAGGTGCAGGTCAGGAACAGGGCTGGAGCAAGGTCAGAGTAGGGCACAGACAAAGCTGGAGTGGGCTGGAACAAGGCTCAGGCAAGAATAGGAACCAGATCAAGAGCAGGCTGGAAGCCTGAGGAGACTAACCCCATGAGGCAGCAGGATGCTCCCTGGCCAAGTAGTGGTGTTGTACTGACCAACTTGCGGCTCCTGCTCTGGCAGACTCAGTGAAATACCTGTGCCATGGGTCATGTGACCCAGGCCCTGCCCAGGGATAGGCTGTTGAGGTATGCCTGGGGGCGGAGTCACTGCAGGCTTTGCTGGAGGGGTGAGTCATAGCAACTGCAGGAGCAGAGCAACTAAAAACACAGTGCTTCTATAATTGCAAAATAGTCTGTTTCAATTTCAACTTTTTGGTTTTTACACTATAAACATCCATCTCCCACTGAAAAGTCTTTCTGCAGAAATAAACTTTGTGTTTGATTTCAAAAGTATCCAAACAGGACATTGACAGTTTCTACACTTTTTTTTGCAAAACAGGAAATTCACCAAAACCAACCTTTTTCTACAAAAAAAGTTTTGGCTTCAACAAAACTGCATTTTTTGATTGAAAAAACATTCCACTGAAAATTCCCAACCAGCTCGAATGTAGATGTTATAAGCTAGACTGAGGAAGCTGTTTGCAGTGCATATCAACAACTTTATTCTGCCTCCTTACTGATGAACATTACTATAGATTCCTATATGCCAATCCATAGAGTTCTTTAGATTAACTATCTACATAACATAGACCTCTCTTACATGGCACTCCCATAACAGACTCAGCTAGAAGGAGAGAAAAAGTATAACTAATATTTTAGAATCTCTGAATAGGACTTAAAGTAGCTTCCTCATGTATATCAGTGTTGTAACTTCAAAGTCTGAACTCTCAGGAACTTCCAGGGCTAGTAGCAAATACCATTTAGCCCATTAATAATCTAGAAATCTCTTTTCCAGTGGTCCATTTCTACTCCCAATGGATCCCAAGATAATTGGACTTTAAAAGTGTAAGTGTCCCAGGACTACCGAGGAGCCTTTGTGATCTTACACTTGTGTAACTTTGGAGCTACAACCCCACATTTGAGGGGAGAAGGAAAATTTCTTTGCTATAATTATTCTTTGGGTTAGGTTTTTTGCACTTTTTATTTTTAAATAGCCGCTCTTTGAAGTCCTGGGGCAGATGGGTTCATGGATTTCCTTCCTGGTATCTGTATGGTTGATTTGTTCTCTTTTGAAAGCAAATTGTTCTGGGAGTGAGAACGTGTCTGCAAAGGGCAGAAAAAAGATGCAAAATGAGAATCATTTAGGGTGGGCTATAATGCGCCTTTGCTTCCAGGTTTGAGCATGGGGTGCTGCATAGATTTACCCTTCCAAGAGCAGCCCAGGGAAAGGATTGCACCAGGTGGGACATAAGCTATGCCATCCCTTTACTAGATTCAGATGAATCTTCCTCCATCCCTGGTGCTGGCTCATCTACCTTCTTCAGTGACCTGGAAGACTACAATAAAGGCTTGGTCCATTCCCCTTTTCTACATGGGGCAGGAAATACTGATAGCACAGCTACTGCACCAGGCACCCAAGATTGGAGAAGACCATGCAGAGGGTTGTTTTATGCACTTGTATGCCCCAATGCCATAACATTAGGTTCAGTTACAATATGGACCTCAAAAACCATTTTCACTGTCTTCCTCCTCCTACACAGGAGAGATGGAGCTGGAGAATATATACTGCGTGAAAAAGGTGAGTTTCATATTCTTATGAGCCTGTTATCTCATATTCTGGTAGCATAGCTCGGTCACTTTGCAGTAGCTTAATGTAATTCAAGTCAGCTCTTGTATTTCTAATGCACCTACCCCCCGTGTAGCTCAGTGCAGCTGTGCAACAGGGGAGCAGTGGAAGGATTGTGCAATGCACTTTGGCCCTGATTTCACAAGGGCTGAACGCCCACAGCTCCCGGTGAAATCAGGTGAGAGCTGCAAATGAAGATCAGATGCTGCAATTTTCTAACAAGAGCACAACTGATCCATTTCCTCATATCCACATAACTCTTTTGCCCAAGGAAAGTCCTTCAAGTATTTACATCTTCCAATTATAGGTCTTCATCCTGCCCAGGAGCAAAGAACTGCAGAGCGCCGTTGAGCAAGGGGTACCTCATGAGCGGCTGGTGCACCATCTACCCCTGTGACTATACGCCATGACTGTGCGGTGTGACATGGACCCGGATGGCAGAGGATGGATTGCGAGTACGAATCAAGAGTAAAAGAACATGGCCAAGAACTCTTTAGCAAACCAGCCTACTACTCCTGCTCTAAAGTGGGATTGGAGCCCTTAGTACATGGGTTTGATAATAAAATTTGTTGTGCAAGCAAATTAAATATATAAATAAACATACTATGGAATATTATCTAATTAGTTTTACATTTAAAATTTGGCTTAAATATCTACAGCTCAGGGTGCAAGGGCCACACGTAATTTAAAAAAACCCAATTGCGACCAGTGTCTAAACTAAAATCCTCCTGAGTTTACCCAACTCCTACTCAGATTAAAACTATCTAGGGCTTTACAATTTAAAACCAACGGCCCAGATCTTCAAATCAGTGAACGTTAGGAGCCTACATACTTTTGAGGATGTGCGCCAACACCTTTAATTGAACCCACAGAAGCGCAAATAGCCCAGTACAGATCCCTGAGCAGACTGATCCCATCGAGCATTCTCTCTCAGCAGGGAAGGAGTAGCATGCTGTGCTAGCTGAAAAATACATTTTTACCACGTGCATCACAGTGAGCCTGGACTCCACTGTCCAACTTGGATAATAGAGTGGCTTTAATGGGGGTAAAATGTCAAAATATCCCACATCAAAAATACCCACATCAAAATCTGTCTGCCTTGCCTACACAGTGTGATGGGAGAGCAGAAAAGTGGACCCGAGCTAATGTTGTCTAGGGTGACTAACGTTAACTGTGCAGTTCCACCTTTTTGAATGTTAATTTTGCGTTTTATAGCATTAGTAGTTTGAGAAAACCAGTGTTCTCCTATGGGATTCCCCCACCAAGTCCCCTAAATTTAAGTGCCAGGTTAGCAAAGATTTTTCCCTTGCAATTACTGTGGATGCTACTTTTGGTCAGAGTTTTAGTTACATTACTTCCTTATAAGAGTTGGTGTAAAGGCTGATTGTGTCATACAGGCAGTTTCTATCACTGTGCACAGGGAGGTGACACAATTCTGGGCTATGCTACCACACACCACCCTGACCATTAGCCATGGAGAGCTGAGCTGAGTCATGGGAAACAAATGGATTTGAACAATATGTAATGTGCTTATTCCCTATTCAGGATCCAGACCACTGTGCTGCCTTCCACCTGAGCCCTGCTCTTTTCCCTGCAGGCTTTCCAGAGATGGGCAGATGGGTCAGTGGATTTTTTCCCCGTGACTGGAACTCGTAGAGGAGATGTTTTGGAAACCAGCTGACAGAATTCTGGCTGGGGAATCACAATATCCACCTGTTAACATCGTTTGGTAACTAAATCACTGATGTATTTTTTTCTTATGCTCTCCACGTGGACTGAGTGAGACAGACCAGTAGTGGTTCTGAAACTGCAGCCAGCAATACCCCAGCAAAGAGACTGCAAAACAGTCCTACAACCCCTGGGAGAAGATACGTAATGGGGGAGATCCTCTAGGCCAGCAGACAACCAGCTCTTGGCTCCCTGCAAGAATCCCTGGTGCAGGAGAGGATATAGGGCATGCCAGGCTTAGATGCAGCCCGTTCCAGGGCTGGGAAGGTGTATACCCTGTATGGTCCTGTTCCCTAGATAATCCGGCTGTAAAAGCTCAAAAATCTTGAGAAGCTAGCTACAAGCTGTGCAAGCCTCAGGGCATCCCTGACTCCAGTGGGGGGCTGAATTGCCCCCTGACAGTTCCAAGATTGGGGAGGGGAAACACAAACCAGCCCCTCTTCCCTGTGCCAGGCTTTGCACTGGCTGACGGATGAAGTGGGCCCCGACTGCCTGATTTACCTACAGCTACGCCCTGGGAGTGGGGTGGAGCACAATCAGCTGGTTCAGAGTGAGGGTGGGTGGGGGCCTTGCATCTGTCCCACCTTTCCCTGTCCCCTTGGGAGCAATGTGCCTTCCCAAGGGCACAGGGAGTGAGCAGTCCCTGAGCACAGGGACAGTGTTTGTGACAGGCTTTTGTATGTCCCCACCATGCATCTGCACCAAGAGACAGCCACAAATCTTGCCTTTAGATTATAAGCTGTTCAGGGCAGGGCATCCCTCGGGATCTGTATTGTAAAGTGCCATGGGCATTGATGGCATAGCTCATAATGATCCTCTGCTAAATCAGTGGAGCCAGCCAGGAGAGGAGCTAGCGTCTCCTTCTGCTCAATGTATCATGAGAGAGAAGAGACAGATAAAGCTTCTCTCTCCTTAGTTAGAGACAAAGTGCTTTGTTAATGGGCAGGTGTGACTCAGTGTATCACAGTGAAGAGAGACCTAGAATTCCAGTGTCGCCCTCACCTTTCCTTCTTCAAGAACAAAGAAGAAATACCACTCAAACGAGATTCTCCAAGCAGAAAACATTTTTATTTCAGGAGAAGCCTCCATAGGAAGCCGGTGCTCACCACAAAATACACCTGGGAGGGGAGGGTGCACAGCCCCTACCTCACACTAGGGAAGAGTCCTGAATTTCATTTCGGAGAACTTGTAGGAATATTCGTTCCCAATACCCTTGTTCCAGAGCACACCATGACCAGGACGATTATGGGCTCCTCGTAAATACATCCCATTCAGGTGGGAGTAATGGCAGCTATTGAACCACCAGGCTCCTTGGAAGGTTTTTGCACAGCTACCCGAATCCAGATCATTGTCATGGTCTGGGGTTGAAAACTTACTGTTCTTCTGGTAGGTTAATGAATCCCCTGTAACAACACACAGACAGGGTTTAAACTTTTTCCTTCCCCTTAATCCTGGGTCAGTTAATTCTGAGGATTTAATCACCTCCGATGTTGCATCCTAGTGGTGCTGGAGAGAGGCTGCCATTATGCTCTGGGCCTACTTGAGGGTGCGGGGGTGAAACTGTGTTTAATAGCCATTGCCAAGTTTGGGGTGGGAAGACTAGGAGGGAAAGACTAGAAGGAAAGTAAAGGAGGGGTGGGAGATGAGGCAACCAGTTCCTATTCGCCTGGCTGGAGGAAAGTGAAGGGAGGATGAGTGGCCCAGCTCTACTTGGTTTCCCCACAACCCAGCTTGAGGAAGTAGAGCCAGAGACATGCACCAAGCTCTTCAGCTTCAGGTGGGGCAGTGGAGGGAAAACACTCTCCACCATAGTCCTTGATCATGGAATTGCACCACCCAAGGAGTAAGTCAGTGCTTCTGCTCTGACCCAAAGGGTGACATGATGCACTGAGAGAAACAGGACAGACAGAATACGTGAGTACCTTCTGGTTCCCTGGCCTTATCAGCATGAGTACCTTAGCACCTCACCTTGGGGAGTGAAGAGACAGGGTCAAGGACCCTCATTACTTCCTTTGGATCAGGCCAAGGGCCTGTCCTGCCTTGCAGGACCTGCCCCTGCTGATTGGAATGAGGTTTTTCCCACTTGTTCCTGTTTAAATACCTGCCCTGTGCGACCAGAACGTGGTCTGGAAGGTCTCAGAGGACAGGTAGAAGCACTTTTCCCCCCTTTCCTCCCAGTTCCTTGATGAGAAGCTGGAGCTTTAAAGGGACAATTGAAGCCAGAGCTTTACAGAGACTATGTTAAAATTAAAACTTAAGGTGTTTTTTTCCCCTTAATTTTATGAGCCTGATGCTGCAGCCCTGGGCCAGTCTTTAAAAGGGTAGGATTTGGTTTGTTTCTGCTGCAGGATGTCCTACGTCTCCATTGGATGGGCATGTTTTTCCTCTGCTGTGAGCAAGTACAGCACCTACCTGCATCACCTGCCACCATGTCCCCTAGAATCAGTTTGTATTGCTCAGATTCTCCCAAAATGTTGAATGACTTGTACTTGGCAAAATATTTCTTGTTTTCGAAGTCTCCGAGGTCAATGCGCAGCTCGTTATTTCCTGGGGAACACAGGAGCAAAGTGAAATATTCACTACATTCTAACACTTTGCACAATGCTGGGTTTATTTGTGAGGACCCTCACACACCTGGGCTTGACTCACCAGCCTGTGCTGACTCTGGGACTGCCTTAGCTAACCCAGTTTCCATCCCCCACTCTCATCTTTCCGTTGGCAAACAGAACCCACATCTAACACCTTTCACCCAGGCAGGAGATCAGAATATATAGTATCCATCCCTCTATGGCCTCCGCCAGCAAGACACACAGGTATTTCTGTCCTGGCTCCATTGGTTCCAATGGGGGACTCTGTCACAGTGATTAGAACAGGATTTTGGATCTCAGGGTCAAATAGGAGCTGGAGTGAACCAGCAGGAACAAGGGCAAGGGCAGGGAGAGGGAACAGAACCAGAGACAAAGCTGAGCAGAGTAGCAAAGGCTGGGTGCCCTGATGTATTTGGAATCCCACAGTGTAGCTGGATATTTTGCTACCTGTTGACCCTCTTCTGGCCAGCAAGGATCTGACAAGTGTTTCCACCATTCTGTCTACTAAGGTTCATGGAAAGCAATCCTCAGGGAGTGATGCTGCAATATGGCAGTGACTGACTGGCTGGCACTGTGATGTCTCACCTTCTAGAGAAGATATATCCATGAATGCTCAAGGTTAGCCACTGCTAGGAAAGGGACAGTTTGGGGGAAACTCAGGTGTCGAATATTTGCTATTCAGACACCATATCAACCTTCAGGTTGAAGCAACCTTGACTGGAGCCAGCAGCACTAGATTGCTATCTATTTCACTTGCTTTTCCTGGAAGAGCTAAGTTCTAAGGCATAGGCAATGGTGATGGTGATTCTGGCAGCAGTTTTACCACTATTGGCCCAGTGTGGAAGGCACTGAACAGGGAGTCAGGTCTAAGCTCTATTCACAGCTCTGCCACTAACTTGATGTATGAACTTGGGCAAATTACTTCCTCTCTCTGCACCTTGCTTTATGTGAACAGATACCCTTCTTGATAAAGCATTCTGAGATGTACAGATGAAAGTCACTATGTAAGAGCTACTGTAAGTGTTATGATCACTATAAGACATGTTGCAAAGAAGGGGATTGGAGGGGTGGGCAGAAGAGATTTTAAGAAAGACTGCATCCATGATTTCTTTACCAAGTGATGTCAGCAGGTGAATATTGTCATTTCCCAACCAAAATTCTGTCAGCTGGTTGCCAAAACCTCTCTTGTAGGAAGCCCAGTTACGATGAAAATCCACTGACCCATCCACCCGTCTCTGGAAAACCTGCAGGGAAACAGGTTGGAGGCTGGTCACATTCATTTTAGTTTTGTGAGACTGGCAGTTCAGGTTCCTCCAGGGTAAGTTGCTCAAATAGTGTATATTAGGTTAATCAGAATTAGACAGCCCATCATTTTAACTTCCTTGTCATTAGCTCTTCTAGAAAGGAGAGAATTAAATTTAGAGTCCTTTCAATGGGCCTCATCTTGAGATCCTTATTCAATTTTTACTCAGTCTTTCCTTAGTTCTCTTCAACAGGAGTTTGCCTTAGGAGTGCCCAAGTAAAAAAAATAAAATTTTATTTTATTTTTTTTATATATATAAGAAAGAGAAAAAGAGAGAGAGAGAGAGAGAGAGAAACTTCCCTTGTACAGAACTGGTATTTGGCAGAGTAAAATTTGAATAAGAATCTCAGATTTGGGCCAGTGTAAATTAAAATTGACAAAAGCCAAATCTACCCACAATTACAAAAATTCACTTCTGTCAAATACTGAGTTTCTCGTGTAACCCCCATGCTCTTACACCATGGCATTTTATTTTATTTCAATTCCATAGTAAGGGAAGGCTGTGATGCGGAGGAGGAACAGATTTGTTGGAAGGTTGCAAAGTCAAGCACACAGAATTAGGAAATGTCAAATTTAAGTTTGCCCATGCAACCTTAATTCAGCTCTTGAGAGTCCAATTTGGGTACTGAGTGAGCCACAGATCTCACAGGAAAAAATGGTATTTGATTTATGTAACTGAAGACGGTATAATAATGCATACACACAAAGGTGCTGAATTATATTATAGAGCCACTACAGTTTTCATTCTAATTCTGAAGAATCCAGTTGATACTTACTACATATGGGAAACTCTCTCTGAAGATTGGCAGGAAAAGAGGTGTATATGTGTGCGCTAAAATTCGGGAGTGTAAATGTTATGCTGAAATCCTCCATTGCATTGCACATGTAACCCTTCTGCCAGGTGGAGTTGGCACCAATAAGGGCCAGGTTCAAAATCTAGGGGTTCCTCTTATAACAATACAAAACAGAACAGGCTTAAACCCTCACTCAGTAATCTTGGAAAACTAACCAGCACCGTTAGGTGCCTCTAATAGGCAATACTTCCACACTTGCAAGCTTTAATTTGGGAGAACACCACAACCACAATTCAAAAACAATATGTAATTGTAAGTAAACACCCATCCCATAGTGCATTGGGAAGTGTCCTTTGCCTCAGTTTTCCATCTTGAGGTATGAAAGTCTGACCAATGTATGTCTATTTAACACGCTACTCCCTCTGCTGCACCCCATTCACAGTTGTCTAACTTGGCTGTCATTGGTCAGCAAACACCTAGATTGCACAGGTGCATCCACATGCATTCACCTATCACCTCGGAGGTGTAGGGTGGCGTGCATTGAACAATGCCTCCAACTGCTCGGCAACTAGTTCCCGGCTGCTGCCACTGTTATCTCCGCCATTGTTGTCCCCTTGCTGCCATCTCTACCATTCAGTACCATCCGAGATGCTGTGTTCTGAGGTTCCCCATTTAGGCCCAGCTCTTCGGGATTTCACTGGATAGTGGGGAACCTCTGTACTGCTGCCTCTTCACTGTCTTTCACTGCAATGTCATTCCCACACCAGCTCTAAAGCTTGGCCCCTACACTTGCTCATCAGTGATTTCAGCTCTAGTAATCACCTAACAGAAACAAGGAGCTTCTGTTGAGTCCAATCAGCTCTGGCTTTAAACACTGAAGAGAACATAAGAATGGCCATACTGGGTCAGACCAAACGTCCATCCAGCCCAGTGTCCTGTCTACTGACAGTGGCCAATGCCACTGTCCCAGACTGCCCCAGAGGGAGTGAACCTAACAGGTAATGATCAAGTGATCTCTCTCCTGCCATCCATCGTCCCCCTCTGACAAACAGAGGCTAGGGACACCATTCCTTACCCATCCTGGCAAATCGCCATTAATGGACTTAACCACCATGAATTTATCCAGTTCTCTTTTAAACCTTGTTATAGTCCTAGCCTTCACAACCTCCTCAGGCAAGGAGTTACACAGGTTGACTGTGTGCTGTGTGAAGAAGAACTTCCTTTTATTTGTTTTAAACCTGCTGCCCATTAATTTCATTTGGTGGCCCCCAGTTCTTATATTATGGCGAACAAGTAAATAACTTTTCCTTATTCACTTTCTCCACACCACTCATGATTTTATATACCTCTGTCATATCGCCCCTTAGTCTCCTCTTTTCCAAACTGAAAAGTCCTAGCCTCTTTAATATCTCCTCATATGGAACCTGTTCCAAACCTCCAATCATTTTAGTTGCCCTTCTCTGAACCTTTTCTAATGCCAGTATGTCCTTTTTGAGATGAGGAGACCACATCTGTACACAGTATTCAAGATGTGGGCGCACCATGGATTTATATAAGGGCAATAAAGATATTCCCAGTCTTATTCTCTATCCCTCTTTTAATGATTCCGAACATCCCGTTTGCTTTTTTGACTGCTGCTGCACACTGTGTGGACGTCTTCAGAGAACTATCCACGATGACTCCACGATCTTTTTCCTGATTTGTAGCTAAATTAGCCCCCATCATATTTTAAGAGAGGAGAATCAAATGGTGTCCAGGACTCTTTAGGCAGAGCCCGCACCATGAGGAACAGGAACACTTGGCACCACCCCGTCTCCTCTTCAATGGGATTTAGCATCTCTACCTTCTGCTTACCAAGTGAGATTCAGTCGATTGCGACACCCTCAGTCATGGCATGCTAAGCACAGTTCTGCTGCTCTTTGATCGTACAATAAAGAGAGCATTACCCCACCTTCAATACTAAAGTGAATTGTAACCCAAAACCAGCCAAAATTGATCACTTTTGCAAAGCCAGTCTGGCTGCTGAAAACCTAGGCAGAGTGGGTATGTCCATACAAATACAATCTGCTCCTAAAGTCTTTTCTCCAGGTCACTAGATGTCAGGGGAAAGCTCATTCAGGCCCCACTTACACACATAACTAATGTTTTAATAGGGAACTCCCTGTTAGATTCACTGAAGAAAAAGCTGTGAAATAGGAATTTGCTTTGTATTTAATATTCATGCTATGGCTGTATATTGAAGACTCTGCCTAAGAGAACTCATTTTGAGACAGGCACACATTTGCATAAGCGTCCAGTGAACTTCATTACGCTCAGTTCTTACTTACAAGCCATCCCCCACCATCTGTGTCCATGTCACACAGCACGGTCATGGCAGCACAGCCTTTGGGGTAGATGGTGTACCAGCCGCTCATAACGTGCCCTCTGGCTAACAGCTCCTTGCAATCCTTTGCACCTGCAGAGAACAGGAATATAAAACTTTCGTTTGCACCAAATGGGAAGGATTCAAAATTATCTTATTCTAATGATTTACCATTTTGAGATGTATAACTTAATTGAAAATACATGATTACTTATTTACAAAAGGCAAGAAATGTTTGAGTAAAAGGTTCTATAGCCATATAAATAAAAAGGAAACAAGGACAGAAGTGGGACTGTTAAGCACGGAGAATGGGGTAGAGATTAAAGATAATCTAGACATGGCCCAACACCTAAACAAATACAGTGCCTCAGTTTTGAATAAGGGTAATGAGACGCTTAGGGTTTGGCAGGGTGGTTAATGGCAATGAGAGTATGGAAGTAGAAATTACCACATCTGAGGTGGAAGTCAAACTCAAGCAGTTTAATGGGACCAAATTGGGGGCCCAGATAATCTCCATCCAAGAATATTAAAGAAACTGGAACATGAAATTGCAAGTCCAATAGCAAGAATTTTTAAAGAATCCACAAACTCAGGTTACTGGTGCATTGCTAACAGAATACCTATTTTTAAGAAATGGGGGGGAAAGTGATCTGGTAAACTTCAGGCCTTGTAGTTTGACCTCAATTGTATGCAAGGTCTTGGAACAAATTTTGAATGAAATAGCTGTTAAGGACATAGAGGTAAATACTATCTGGGCTAAAATACAACATCGTTTTACCATAAGTAGATTGATCAGGTTGGTCTGGCAGACTTTCTTTGAGAAAATAACTGATTATTTAGACAAAGGAAATGAAGTAGATCTGATTTACCTGGATTTCAAGTAAGGCATGTGATACAGTTCCAAATGGGAAATTAGTTAAATTGGAGAACATGGGGATTAATATGAGAATTGAAAGGTGGATAAGGAACCGATTGAAGGGGAGACTACAATGGGTCACGGTGAAAGGTGAACTGTCAGGCTGGAAGGAGGTGACTAGTGAAGTTCCTGAGGGATCAGTCTTGGGACCAATCTTATTTAAAATATTTTAGTGACCATGGCACAAAAAGTGGGAGTATGCTAATAAAATCTGCAGATGACACAAAGTTGGAAGGTGTTGTCAATCTTGAGGGGGACCAGAATAGCATACAAGAAGACCTGGAGGATCTTGAAAACTGATGTGATAGAAATGGGATGAAATTTAATAGTGCAAAGTCATGCACTTAAGAACTAACAACAATAATTTTTTCTATAAACTGGGGATATATCAGTTGGAAGCAACAAAAGTAGGAAAATACCTGGCTATGTTGTTTGATCACGGGATGACTATGAGGTGCTAATGTGATGTAGCTGTGAAAAAAGGCTATTGTAGTCCTAGAATGCATCAGGGGAGGTATTTCTGGTAGAGAAAGGGAAAGGTTAGTACCACTATACAAGGCACTGGTGAGCCCTCATCTGGAATACTGTGTGCAGTTCTGGTCTCCCATGTTTATGAAAGATTAATTCAAACTGAAACAGGTTCAGAGAAGGTCTACTAGGATGATCAGAGAAATGGAAAACCTACCTTATGAGAGGAAACTCAAAGAATTTGGCTTGTTGAGCCTAGCCAAATGAAGGCTGAGAGGAGATATGAATGCTGTCTGTAAATACATCAGAGGGATAATTACCAGAGAGGAAGAGGAGTTATTTAAGTTAAGCGCCGATGTGGACACAAGAACAAATGGATATAAACCAGTCATCAACAAGTTTAGGCTTGAAATTAGACAAAGATTTCTAACCATTAGAGGAGTGAAGTTCTGGGAACAGCCTTCCACAGGGAGCAGTGTGGGCAAAAAAACAAACTGGCTTCAATACTGAGAATGATAAGTTTATGGAGGGGATGGTATGATGAGACTGCCGACAGTGGCATGTAGCTCACACAGGACTGCTAGCAGCAAATATCCCCTGTGGATGTTGATGGGACATTAGATGGGGAGGGCTCCGAGTTACTGCAGAGAATTCTTTCCTTGTGCCTGGCTGTTGGGTCTTGCCAAAATGCTCATGGTCAACTGACCACCATATCTGGGGTTGGAAAGGAGTTTTCCCCCAGATCAGATTGGCAGAGACCATGGTGTTTTTTCCACCTTCCTCTGCAGCATGGGGCATGGGTCATTTGCAGGTTTAAACTAGAGTAAGTGGTGGATTTTCTGTAACTTAAAGTCTTTAAATCAAAATTTAAGGACTTCAGTAACTCACCCAAAGATTAGAAGTATATTACAGGAGTAGGTGGGCAAGGCTCTGTGGCCTGCAATGTTCAGGAGATCAGATAAAACTATCATGATGGTCCCTTCTGGACTTAAAATCTATCAGTCAGATGATTGAACACAGATAGATTTTCCCCACAGCATTTTCATCAGGACTCCCATTTCAAAAGAATTAAAATATCACAATCTTAATGAAAATGAATTCCTCAGCATCACACTGAAAATCTGTATATGAAGTTTATAAAATGGACTCCCTTCTAGTACTTAACTGCTGTGGCAGAGGTCACCTCATTTGTTACTAGGCTAGAGATGGCCTTTTTCTCATAGGGGACTCTAGTGGGACTATTTCTGTGAGTAAGAAAAACAGGATTTGGCCCATTGTCATTAGCAGAATTTATATGGAATGGAATTCCATTAAATCTGTTGCTGCTGACACAGCATCAGTTACATGATCTCTGTTTCTCAAAAAGTGAAATTCACACACTTTCCTCTCTTCATGGAGCAGATATACACTGGACTTTGATACCTGAACGGGATAACTGGCCAATTATTATCGCAAACTCACCTTTCTTACACTGGATATTGTCCAGCTGCCTCACATCTGTGCAGAGAAAGAAACCCAGTGGAAGTGGGTTAAAACCAGAGAAAAGAGCATTTTTTTTTCTTAACTCTTATTCAGTTCTAACAGTTGTGTCTATTTTTCTGAGTCAAACCATTTATAAGAACACAAGAAAGGCCATACTAGGGCAGACCAATGGCCCATCTAACCCAGTATCCTGTCTTCTGGCAGTAGCCAGTGCCAGATGTTTCAGAGAGAATGGACAGAACAGGGCTACTGTTGAGTTATCCATCCTCTGCCATCCAGTCTCAGGATCTGATAGTCAGAGGTTTAGGGCTATCCAGAGCATGGGGTTGCATCCCTGACTATCTTGGCTAATAGCCATTGATAGAGACCTATCTTCCATGAACTTCTCATTCTTTTTTGAACCCAGTTATAGTTATACTTTTGGCCTTCACACCATGATCTGACAATACGGGTTGACTGTGCATTGCGTGAAGAAAGTACTTCCTTTTGTTTTAAACTTGGAGTCAATTAATATCATTCGGAGACTCGTAGTTCTTGTGTTACGTGAAGGGGTAAACAACACTTCCTTACTCACTTTCTTCCCAGAATTCATGATTTTATAGAGCTCTCTCATATCCCCCCTTAGTCATCTCTTTTCTAAGATGAACAGTCCCTGTTTTTTTAAATCTCTGGTCCATCGTCCTAATTGCCTTTGTTGCCCTTCCCTTAACTTTTCCAGTTCTACTGTATCTTTTTTGAGATGGGGCAACCAAAATTGCACTCAGTATTCAAGGTGGAGGTGTACTGTGGATTTATATATGCCTTATGATATTTTCTCTTATTATTTATCCTTTTCCAAATGGTTCCTAATATAGTTAACTTTTTTCACTGCCGCCGCACATTGAGTGGAAGTTTTCAGAGAACTATCCACAATTCCAAGATCTCTTTCTTGAGTGGTAGCAGCTAATTTAGACCCCATCATTTTGTACGTATATACAGTTGGGATTATTTTTTCCAATGTGCGTTACTTTGCTCTTATCAACATTGAATTTCATCTGCCATTTTGTTGCCCAATCACCCCAGTTAGCCAGATCCCTCTTCGTTGTCATCTTTGGACTTATTTTGAGTAATTTTGTACAGTCTTCAACCTTTGCAATCTCACTGTTCACCCCCTTTTCCAGATAATGTATTTGTTGAACAGCACAAGTCCCTGTCCAGATCCTTGGGGGACGCCACCATTTACCTCTTTCCATCTGAAAATTGACCATTTATTCCTAACCTTTGTTTCCTATCTGTTAACCAGTTACTGATTCATGAGATGACTTCTCCTACTCCATGACTGCTTACTTTGCTTAACATGCTTCGAAGAGACACAACCTCACACTGGTATGAAAGAGACTAACAGCTCTTCTGGGCCTGTTCCACGCTAACAAGATGCACCTGCAAGGCTTGTTCAACCTGGAGGAGGAGGAGCTTAAAAGGGGGAATTTCCCAAAGGAAGGGGTAGTGAACAGGAAGAACGCTGTTCCACCTAGAGGCTGCTGGTAATAGAAGTAGTCCAGCTGAGGAAGAGACCGCCACAAGGCGCACCACTCCCAAAGCTGCCCTGATTGACAGCAAAGCAACACACCCCAGGAAGAGGGGTAGAAGGTAAACCATGCAAAGGGGCAATAGACTCTGAAAGACTAAGCCCTTAGAACTGGATATCCTGGGGCTGTCAGAGAGACTGGCCCTCTTTCCAGATGGATCCACATCTTTTACAAGGCAAATCATGGGTGGCAGGTGAACAAGCTGTTAGGCGAGGCTAGCCCCCTCATGCCCCAACCCTCCCCCTCCTCTTCTGCCCCCACAGCCGGAGCCCAGAGCAGCACCCTGCCCCCTCCCGTGCACTCCCAGGTCTGGGCCTTGCAAGCACCAGCCCCAGCCTGCCTGCCCCAGCCTCTCCACCATGGAAGAGCTGGAAGGGAACTGGAAGCAGGCAGGAGAGAGACTGGAAGCGGAGTGTGGACAGGGCCATACTAGTCTGTTTTGGGAGGCACAGCCTCCGCCCGGCCTATGACGCCCACCGTTCAATGAAGGGAAGGGAAGAGGGCGAACTGTTCCTCTGCCCATGTCCAACAGCCTCAGAGAGCTTCCCCATGCGCTGCCAACTGGGGGAGAGAAGAGGGCAAATGACGGACAGGGAACCCTCCCCCCCAAAACTGTCGAGAATGTGGGCAAACTATCCCAGATACAAAAAAACACCCAACCAAACAAGCCTTAGAGCTGACAGAGCTCAGCTGTTCCGCACAGCCGGGGGGCCGGCGCAGTGCCATAAGTGGGCAGCAGCGATGCTGTTGAACCTGCTGCTGCAGTTGCTGCAGCAGCAGATCGCCCCGCAGCAGGTTCAGGCCACCCAACAGCTGCTGCTGAGGGAACGGATGACCCCGCAGCAAGAGTTCCCAAAGGAAACGTTACCGCAGATGACATCAGCGCTATGCCCGTATGCGGGTCCAGGGATTCATGCTTCAACAGAAGGGGTCCCTCCACCTGTACCAGTGAAGTTCACCAAGAAGGACTTCAAGTAAGTGAAGTCCACCATCTTGGACTATCTGATATTTCAGAAGAAACCTACCACCAATGGTTTAGAGCCGGGAGCTACCCCAAGGGGGCACGACCCCGAATGGTAGCACGATGACTGAAAGAACACTCCTGGAAGCGTCTCCATCCAGAGGAATGCTCAGGGACCCAAGTGGTTGAGGCCTTTGTGTCTAGAGCAATTTATAAAGATTGCCTATGGAAGGCAGGGAGTGGAGACAATGGCATCTCCAAGGGAAACTATCAAAAGCAGTCAGGTTAATGGAGGAATTTGTAGAAGCCAAAGGGTCACTAAAGGCAGAATTACCTTAGGCATCAGCAGGACAAGGGACCTGGGCAGGGTGAGCCACAGTCCACAAGGAGGTGAATCCCAAAGGGGCCTCTCAGATGGCCACTTTGACACAGGGCAGGCCTAGAGGGTGAGTACAATGCAGCCAGTGGAACCGTCAGGCACCCCAGAGAACTGAAGCTCATAGACGAAGGTCCAACCAGCACCTCACAGGCAAGCTTCCCTCAAGACTAGGAAAGAGGCTAGCAACCCCAGCCCATTAATAGGCTATTCCTGTGGGCTGGCAGGGCACATAATGAGGGCATGCCCACTGATGGAGTGAGAGTATGCCCAGGTGGACGGCAGAAATCCAGGCACAGAAGAAAACTCCCCCTAAGTTGGTGGTCCCGGTGATGGCCCAAGGGAAGCTGGTTCAAGGACTCTTGAACTCTGGCTGCAGCCAGACAGTGGTCCGGACCTCCATGGTGGGAAGTGACACCACTCCCAAGACAACAATCTATCTTCAGTGTATCCATGGCAATGTCAAGACCTACCCCACCCAGCAACTACAGCTGGCAGTGGGAGCCCATACTGCAGTAATAACAGTAGGGATAACTGCAGCCTTAGCAGAAAAGTTGGCCTACCTTGTGATTACAGGCTAGGGTTGGCTTTTTTTTTTTTTTTTTTTTTGCGGCAAGTATTTAATACCTAGGCCTGGGCCACAAGCAAGAACAGAGGCCAAGTAGTAACACCAGCTCTCCGGAGCTTGGCAAGCCTTAGGGAAACAAATGACCTTGGGGAAGAGATGTCCCAAGCAACACAGCTGCAGACCCCCACAGGGGAGAAAGAAGCAAACCATTAGGACCTGGAGGCTCTCTGATGGGATGGAAAGTTTGTGCAAGAACAGAGGAACGACCCTATTTTAAACCGTGTATATGAGCAACTGGTCCCCATAAACGGGGAAGCAGCAGTCTCAGGGAGGCGATCAATACCTGCACTTTGCACTCAAGAAGGAGCACTTGTACCAAATTGAGAAGAATCAGCAAACTGGGGGGGTGAGGGACCAGCTGCTTATACCATGCCAGTATCACCAGTCCATCTTGCAGCTGGTGCATGATATGGGAGACAGAAGACACAGGCCTGGATATTCGCTAGAGTCTATTGGCCACAGGCATACACCATGAAGTGACAAAATACTGTTCCTCCTGCCCAGCATGTTGACTAGCATGCTAGTGATCATTGACTATGCAGCCAGGTATCCAAAGGGGACGTGAATAACGTAGCTGAAGTCGACGTACTTAGATCCACTTACTGCGGCGTCTTCACTGTGGTAAGTTGACTGCTGCTTCCCCATCGACTCCGCCTGCGCCTCTCGTGGCGGTGGAGTACAGGAGAGCGCTCGGGGGTCGATTTATTGCGTCTAGACTAGACGCGATAAATTGACACCCCCCCGCTGGATCGATTCCTGCCCACTGATCTGGCGGGTAGTGTAGACATACCCTGAGTCTCTGCTCCCCATACCGTACTATGCAATGGATATTGTAGATTGAGGTTCCCAGGACTGGGGCCGAGGTTCCAAGTGCAATCCTCACACTTCACACCTCACACCAACCTTTCCTGCTAGGGGGGTCAGATGTAACCCCTGGAACAAGCACCGCACTTAACAAGAGCACAACACTTATCTGACCCAGGCAAAGCCAGGTGCAGACCCAGGTCTGGATCCCCAACAGGGGTTACACAGACTCCCTCTCCCTAGGCACAGCATATAGCAAAACAACTCTTCCCCATGCCTGGGTAGACACACAGTCTCTCTACCATGTGCCAATACAATCCCTTCCCTCCAGTGGATCCGTCAACCTGTCCATGCAGTTTTGGGCTGGTGCTGGCTCAGCATCGTGGGTTGGCTGCTGGTCTCAACTCCAGGCTGGGCATTTACAAGAATCTCCTTTTGCCAGCAGCCAGTTCTCCTCCAAGCAGCTTCCTCTCTGTCCAGCCCAGGGCTCCTGCCTCTTCTTTGTTCACTTTTTCAGTTTCCCAGGCTTGTCTCTCATCCCACCCCCGTCTGCTCGTTCACTCAAACCCTCCCAAGGGTCTGAATTAATTCTGCATGTTTGATTGCCACTTCCCCTTAGCCAGTCAGATTTGTGCAGAGTAAGGTTGCCAACTCTACTGAACCGGACACCATTGACACAAATGGGGATGCCCTTGCTGCAAAATGGGATCTGGTCCATCCGGTCTGGGAGAATTGACAACCTTAGTGAAGAGAAATGGGAGAAAGGGGAAGGAGCTCTCTCACCAACTCTACACCACTCAACAGGAACAAAGATCTGGTTTCTTCAAAAAGTGAGAGAGTATCTGGGCACCACTGTCTGTGGCTTATTTGAGATCAGAAACTTATTTCTCCTTCACCAGGAGAGCCCTGCAGGGTTGGCTGTATAAGGGGAAGTTACTTGATTTAGGAATAGACGGTCCCATCGAGTGGATGTAGCAGTGTAATGGTCCTCATTCGAGGTCTGGTTGGGGGGTGTGGCCTAGTGGCCATGGCTGCAGTCCCTGGCTGCCAAGGGGGTTGTGGGGAGGGGAGCCTGGACCCTCCCACTCCACGGGGCTCTGACCCAGGGCCCTTTGGTCTACCAGTAGTCTGGCAACCAAGGCTGTTTAAGCTTGTCCTCCCCATGCTTCTTCCTCTCATCCCTTACACCCCCTGGGTCAATTTAGTCCATCTGCTCTCTGGGGCTGTGGGCTGCTAGAGCTGTGGGCTGCAGGTCTGCTCACCTCCAGCTCTGCCACACAAATCAGCTAATTCCCAGCCTTTTAATTCCTCCAGCAGATGGAGCATTTGCAGCAGGTGTGGTGGGATGGGGCTGACTGAGCCCAAAGTAATCCCTTAACCCCTTGCTGCCCAGTGTGGGGTTTGTACACCCAATCACACCCTCCCCCTCAAGACAGAGCCAGGGGAGCTGGGGCCATCCGATTGCTACCCTCCTCCCTGGAAAAGAAGTCAGCATTCTGATGGGCTTTCCTGGCTCAATGCTGAATTTGGAACGTGTTGGGCTGGAGAGAGAGGTACCCGTGCAACAGGCTGAGGTGTGTCTCCTTCATAGTGTTTAGCCATCTTAACGGAGCACGGTCTGTGACAAGCTTGAAAGGGTTTCCCAGGAGATAGTATCGAAGCTAATCTATGGCCCATTTTACTGCCATCCCCTCCTTCTATATGACAGAGTAGGTCCATTCACGTGGGAACAGTTTGCAGCTCAAATAAAAAGGGAGGAACACCCTGTGCTCTATTTCCCAAGATAAAACAGCGCCCAGTCCCACATCGGAAGCATCTCTCTGCAAAATGAATTCTTTGGAGAAGTCTGGACTGAGTAGGACCGGTTCTGTATAGAAGTGTTGTTTCAATTCTTGAAAAGCCTTTTCAAAGGTCTTAGACCAGTGCACTTTCTTGGGGCTGTTTGTGACCAGATCTGTGAAGTTGGTGCCTTGGCCAGTGAGAATCTCCTGCGGAACTCCTACTCGAGCAAAGACTTTCCATAGTCTCTGTATTGGTGTTGTGCAGTGGGATTGCCTCAGAATAGTGAGTAGCATAATCAACTATCACCAATAGGTATTTGTATCTGGTGGCATTTTTTCCCCCCCAGAGGACCAACAAGGTCTGTACCCATTTATTTGAAGGGGACATCAACAACTGATAGAGGGACAAGGGGGACTTTCATCCCACCTTTTGGCCTGAATAGCTGGCATTCAGATCAGGAGTTGCAAAAGTTCTTAACTTCTTGATGTATACCAGGCCAGAAGAAATTGTTTAAGATCCAGGCCAGCGTTTTCTCCTGTCCAAGGTGGTCTGCGGAGGGGATGGCATGGGCCAGTCCCAAGACTTCTCATCGATGCAGCCAAGGTACAAGGAGCTGTGACCAAATTTCTTGCATCTGATGGTCTTTTTCCAGCCAATATAGTTGTTCCGCCTGGATCTCAAAGTGGAGGTACTGTGCATCCCGGTGGGGGATCTACGACTTTACTGTTAACCACTGGGAGTTGTTCATATGCATGGCTCAAGGTCTCATCCTCCCTCAGGTCTTAAACAAAATCCATCACTCAAGTCAGTAAGTCCCCTTCCTGGAGCGGGGTTTGTAAAATCTCCTCATTAGGAGGATCTTCTGGCAGCACTTCCTCTTGGCTGGAACCCCCCCTCCCCGGAGTCCCGCACCTCACCTACTCCAGTCACTGTCACAGCCAGGGTTCCTGGCCTACCCTGGTTCCCTTGGGCACGTCCTCCTGAGGGCAGCGTGCGGATGGATGGAGCCTCCCTGAACCTAGGGGCTGCACAGATCAGATGGCCACTTCTAGGAGCCATGCAGAGCCAAGGTAGGTAGGGAGCCTATCTTAGCCCTAGGCCCTTGCTGTGCTGCCAAGCAGACTTTTAATGGCCCAGTCGGCACTGCCAACCAGAGTCCCTTTTCGACTGGGTGTTCAGGTCGAAAACCAGACACCTGGCAACCCTAACTGGTGCACACTAGAATTTACACTCCAGGAGGTGCACACCAATTTACAGTATAGACAAGCCCTTAGGCTCCTGAGCAATTTATGGTCAGATTTTCAAAGATATTTAGGCACTTCAGGAGGAATCCCCTATTGGAATTTTCAAAACTGCCCATTAGGCACCTAAACTCCCATTGATTTCAGTGGGACTTGGGTACTTAACTAACTTAGGCACTTTTGAAAATCCCGCTAAGTACTTATCTGCATCATTAGAGGCCTACATACCTTTGACAATCTGGCCCTTAGGCACTTTGAAAGTTTACCCTTAGGTTTTGAGCAATTATTGAAGATGATGCCACACTTGGATGGGCGCAAGCTACTGTATACCATGATTGTTACACTTTTCTTACATCACATCACAAAGGGGAAGATTAGTGGGTGGAGCTCAATATTGCACGCAAAGAAATTAGTCAGAAAGTTTCCCGTATCATCCTAATGCTAGCGATTTAATCATTAAAACTTAAATGCTTCTCACCAAATGCTGTTGTCTCAGGGATTCCTTTTTCTCCTAAAGAAAGAAAAAACAGACTTAAATACTTATACTACTTAAAGACTACGCCCTGATCTAAGTGGTGCCGTCTTTTATGAATTTATTTCTATTTTAAGGGGGGAAATGTTTTCCAAAAAGTAATGGGAGAATGCGGCGGGGGGGCAGGAGGAGGAGTGAAGTACAAAATCAAAAATATAGGGGGAAACACACAGTTCTGCTATTCCTCTCTTACCAGAAGAAGAGAGATTTAATTTCATTGGGTCATTTTCAGCTCAGGTTTTCCAGCACCGCACATTCTACGCATAAACATTTTAACAGTTGTGCTGAGATGAAGCCCTGCCTATCCAACAGGAGGTGTATTTGTTTAATACTGCATTCTAAGTTACATTCTGCCAATAAAGAGAATCACAAGGATATTCAACATACTGAAAAGAACTTTTCCAAAGCAGCATGTTTGCTCAGATCCAAAACAGGAGGAGTGCAGACCCCATGAAAAAAAATCTAAGGCATTAAAAGAATTTGGGGCTACTTAATTGCTTTGATACTACTTAATTGCTTGTAAGTCCAACGTCAAGGACTCAGCACAGTAGGGGGCTGGTGTAGATCAGTGGAGCTCGCAGAGGTTCCAGTCCCATGCTGGGCCTTCAGTTGGTCTGACGATCTTGAGGCTGGGAAGAGGGCTTACATTTCCAAACAGAGGCACCTGAGGGTAGTGACCAGAAGCTCCATTTAGGGAGCAAAATAAAAGTTGCCCGAAACCAGAATTCGTCTGAAGTTTGACAATCTGGGCCAGGTTCTTTTTGTGCCTGGTGGAGGCTGCATTCCCTGGTGATTTAATCTCATTGCCCGCTCAGTCATGTTGTTAGACACCAGTCTAAGGTGAGGCCGGGTTTAGTTATCTTTTAGTTTAACATTTGCCTTTTATTTCTTCTATAGGCTGCAACCAGAAAGGACCCCGCTTTCCCTCCATGCCAGTCAGCACATGGTAGCGCAAGCTGCAGCCTTGTCAGTGGAACTAGCAAGGACTGCTCAGGCCTGCATTCCCCTGGTGCTTGCAGAGGTATTGGCTCTGTCTCCTGGTGGTCAGAGGAAGCAGGGAACGAAGAGCCACAATCTGGCCCCCAGTATCAACTTTACCTCTTACACCCTCAGTCTCTGTCCCCATGAAGAGCAGCAGAAAGGACCTGACTCCAATCCTGCAGCCCTCATTCAAGGACAGTCGCAGGGACACCAGAGAGACTGCTGCTGTGACAGCTGCAAGATCGGTCTCCTGATCCTGACTGGTACTAAGCCATTGGCAGAACCAGACCCCAAAGCAGGAGAGGAGAACTATCCAAGGTCTCTCACCTTTTAGTCCAGAGGGGCCGGCATCACCTTTCTCTCCTTATTAAAAAAAGAAAAGGAACAATCTAGTACTTGTTGCTGACATACTAGGAGCTCAGTTGTTCCTTACAGCTACTGCCCTGCCTTGGGGGTAATATAGAGCTGCCCCATCCCATGTGGGAGCTCGGGGAGGCACCTGGAGATCTTAGGGAATGTTTGAAAGGGGTGCAGCATATGTGGGTACCCCATTCTCCTTGTCCAGTGTGGATGGGAGATGAAGCCATGCCCCTTTTCAGAGATTAGCAGCCACAGTGGTACCAGCTCTCCAGAGAAGGGGCTCTGTCCCTCCTTGTACTGCTCCCCTGTCTAGAGCTGGGAGCAATCTGGCTCTATGATGATAGGCCCATGAGGGCCAATTTCAGAGGGCAGGTATAAAATGGCATCCAGAGATATATGCAGGTGTAAAGAAGTTTTACTGACTCTGGCCTTGTCTTCACTACACAGTTTCGTTCCCGTTTTCTAGCAGGAACTCAGGTGAACTGCTGCTAGCACTGGTGTAGGTGCTAGTGTAGACAGAACTCGGGGCGGGGGATGAGGGGGCAGATACTTGGCTAGTGTAAATTGTCACAGCTGCATTGACTCCAGTGGAGGTAAGCAATTTGCCCCAGGTGGGGATCTGCCCCTAGGTGTTTTTAGCACCATCTCATCAGAAGCTAGTCAAGTTTTCATGACATAGCATTAAAATCACCTTGCCCTGTCTAAATGAGACCTTACACCTTCTCTGGAACTAGAGCAGCTGCCCCAGAGGAAAATTCCATGCCTGAGTCTTCTCAGCATAAGTACATCCTCAGGGAGGTAAGTGAGTAATTACCTATTGTAAGCTACAAGCGGAGGGAGCCACTAGGAGGTACAGGTTATCTCAGGTGACCTTAGATCCACTTGGTCGCGCTTGTGGATTTACCCCGTAATATCAAGGGAGGTGGGAGGGGAGAGGTGCTCAGAACTAGATTCTCTGGTCATACACTTTCTAGGCTAATTTTCCTCTCAGATACATAAGTTCAGCTCTATTGAGCTACCCTGGTATCACTTGAAAGGAGAATCTGGGTCATTGTGAATGAACATTTGGCACATATGGGAAGATGGAAGTGTTTAAAATGTCTTACCTTTGCCTGGTGGCCCAGCTGGTCCCACCTCCCCAGGAGCTCCCCTTTCTCCTACAAACACAGAAAACTCACAATGGATACTTCACAGCTGCACACAGGGAATGTATTTCTAGGGTTAACCAATGGCATGGGTGGACAATTTCTACCCTCAACCCAAATCCAAATTTCAAAAGTAAGTTTCAACCAGGGACACAGTTTAAGAATTTCCCCATCTGATTGGGCATTATCTTGGGTCTGATCCTGCATTCCTCAACATTTGGAAGTTTTGCTTAAACTGGAAGCAGATGTTCACGCTCCTTTATCTTAGCAGCTTGTTGAAGATGTTGCATGACTCACCAACCAGACTGCCAGCAAGCCATGTTTTCAGTGCTTGCAAATAATAGCTCTTCACCTGGCCACTAAAGAGCCATGGCCACCATCTTCAACACAGAGCAGAAGTAATTTTAGCTCCTGCCACCAGTGGGGGTATTGCTGGAACCTGTTCCTCACCCCACTACCTCCCCTCCTCCTCCTCGTCTCCTTTCGCCTCTCCACTATCCAAAGTTCTGTTGTATGCAGAAGTTATTTTAAATCATTACAGATCCTGAACAAAACAAGTAAAGAAAAATGCAGCAAAGATGTAGGTGATGGTGCCTTATCACCTAGTTTGATTAATTTATTTTCCTGGCCTCTGACTAGTCAAAAAAAAAATTCTGCAGTGAGTTCAATCCTCAGTGGGAAAGAAATGAGAGGACATAGGCTAAGGGTGATTGGCATTGATCATCGTATTTCAGGTGGATGTTGAATAATGTGATTGCTATTTATTTCCATATGAATTTTAACCCCACGTTGAACAAAATAAAACTCCCAAACTTAATGTCCTGTTTCCAAGGCAAACACTGTAAACATTCGCAAAAAGAAAAGGAGGACTTGTAGCACCTTAGAGACTAACCAATTTATTTGAGCATGAGCTTTCGTGAGCTACAGCTCACTTCATCGGATGTATTTTCCACTGAATGCATCCGATGAAGTGAGCTGTAGCTCACGAAAGCTTATGCTCAAATAAATTGGTTAGTCTCTAAGGTGCCACAAGTACTCCTTTTCTTTTTGCGAATACAGACTAACACGGCTGCTACTCTGAAACCTGTAAACATTATAGCGCACAACTGACAGTGAATTTCTTTAATCATTCTGCTGTTTCTGATCTGCCATCTCCAAAGACAGTAACTTACAGCCAGAAAATTGTTCCTGCAGCTGGAATTGGATGTCATAGCAATAACTCCTAGGTTCCAACTCCATTAAGTGGGGACTTCAGGAGAATTGGGATTGAGTACCAGAGGCACTTAGCTGAATTTACCTTGTGATGCCTTATCTTCACCGTGTTTTTACCTCTGGATGGTTCATGTGTTATTTGCCCAGAGGTTAAAGAAAAGCTGCTATGTTGTCACTGACAAAATCAGCATGTCAGTTAACCAATGGTAAAAAACACATGAGCTCACCCACTGTAAAAAAATAAATTAAATTAAATAAAAAAAAAAGTGGGGACAAGGCTACATAGTTTTACCATGTGATCGAAAAGCACTAAACCCCCCAACCAATGGTTTACCTTATCTCATCCAGCTACCTCATAGTAAACACTACAAGTGCCTTTCCTTCACTAGGGTCTTATGAGAAAGGTACTGCACGACAAACACCTTCTTGTCAGTGAAGGCAAAGCCAGAACCTTTCGGAAATATGGGCCATGGTGTGGATCACTATTGAATCACCACTGAATGCATCCAGTGCAGTGAGCTGTAGTCACGAAAGCTTATGCTCAAATAAATTGGTTAGTCTCTAAGGTGCCACAAGTACTCCTGTTCTTTTTGCGGATACAGACTAACATGGCTGCTACTCTGAAACCTATTAAAAAAAACAAAACAAGTTGACAGTTCTGCTGGAAGCTGCCTGGTGTGTCAAATGAGTCTCATTTGTTTTATAGATGTTAGTGTCTATATTAGGGCACTGTTCATTGTAAATGACCAATAAAGTAAGAGACCACCATCTAGGATATTCATTAGCATATTGAGAGGACTTACAGAAAAGCAGAATGTTTCCTCCGTCTCATAAATGGGCAGAAAAAACTCCAAAGCCTATAGGCAAATCTTCTGGGCCAATTAACTGGATTGATGAACAAGTTTGTCTATCCAAGGCAAAGCAGTCTCCCTCTTGTCTATGCTAGGAAAATTTATCATGCTTGAAAATATGTTCACTAACATGATGCTAAACATGACTTAGCGCCTAGTGTAGACAGGAAGTCATGTTTAAAAACATGGTATCTGGACATGTGTAAACACAACAGTCCTTGTTCAGATTAATTGCAAAAATTTTAACACTACATTAGTTGACATTATGATGCATTTTCCTTGTATAGAAATGGCCTTTGAGTTCAAGGACATCTTCTCAAATGGGCCAAAAAAAGTCTTTGAAAAGAATTGTTGTGCACTCATGGAAATTAGATAATAAAAATGTAAAAGGTTTGGTAGCTAGAGAAAATGGATAAAGAAGCTATTCAGATATGAGATGGCTTAGAAATAAAGTTACATGTATACTGGGTCTGAGCCAAAGGATGAGGTAACATACTGTGTGATAGCGTAGTCTAAACTCCTGGACTCTCAGACACAGAAATCAATAAGACAAGGGGGATGCAATGGAATTGAAGGAGACAACATGACTCCCATGGACATGATATTTTTGGCCACATTTCCTTCTTCCCCCTTTCTTCAGTTTAACTTTACTGATTTCAGTGAGGTTTTAGATCCTTGTAACATAGGGTACACCTGCACTACAAATGAAGGTGTGACTGTCGTGCTGGTAGACGTACCTGGAATAGCTCTAATGTAACTAATGTGTGTAACAATAGCCAGTGTAACAATAGCCAGTGTAACAATAGCCAGTGAAGATGTGGCAGCACGGACCCTGGCATAGGCCTGCAACCAAAGTAGGTACCGAGAATGCTCAGAGGACTTGTACTTGTGGACTAGCCTGTGCTGAAGTCCACACTGCCATGTCCTCACTACCACTGATGCACACAGTAGCTAGATTAAATCTATCCGCACAGCGAATCACACCTTCATTTGTAGCATACAGGTACTGAAAGGAAGATTTTCTCCTTGGTGAATACCACATTCTGGCACATATACCAAGTAGAGAAGATGCAAATGGTTTAAATCATGCAGTGAATGAACACAGTTCTTATTTATTCTTCATTCCTTTACCTTTCTCCCCAGCTGGTCCTGCCTTTCCACGGAACCCCTCAGCACCTCTCTCTCCTACAGACACAAAATACTCAGAATTAACATTTTAAAGATGCTAGTGGGGATATATTGTAGGGGTAAAGTGGGGAGTAAGGGAACCTGTGAAATCAGTTCCTACCTTCCATCCTGGAATCCAAATACCAAAATTAACTAAAAAAACCCACAAGGTTTAAGAGTTCTCCCGATGTGGCTGGTCACCCTCTTGAGCCAGATCCAGCATTCCTTACTCAGACAAAATTCTCATTGATCTTCAACTGCAGTTTGTATTCCTTGCGCAGACAGGGTCAAGCCAATTATCTCAGCACCTTGGTGAGCCTGTGGCACAACTGGCCAACCAGAAGGCCACTGGCTCAGGTTGTGTCCTACCTGTCTCTTGGGTTTGCCTTCAGCAGGTCACTGAGCATCTATTGCGGACATCCTCTACTAGGGGAGAGCTGCTGCACCCTAACCCCTCTCTCTCACACACACACACACACACTTGTTGTGCATAAATATTATTTAAAAATTAGTGTAGACCCGGAATAAAAGGAACATGAGGAGAAATGCAGCAAAGATACAGCTGATGCTAATATATTAACCAAATAAAGTAAGGATTTTTTTCCTCAGTCTTTTGTCTGTCCAAACCCTGGCGATGACTGGAGCAGGGAGGGGTTCCCTAGCCAGACTACATCCCCTTCAACGGTTCACCAATATCAGGAACTCCCATGATGCACCACCACTTGATCTTACCAAGAGGAAAGACCACAACACATCATGGGAGATGTAGTATGACAAGGGAGCTGAGCCTTTAGAGGAAAATGAGGCTTCTGAGCTGCAGCTCCCATGAGGTCACCAGAGTGGTCATTCCATATCAAAATATTTTTTGTTGGGGGGAAAAAAAATAATCAAAACTTTCCATAACCAAAGCCCATTTTCTGACCAGCTCTAATGCAGCTCCATTACCTTCAATGCCCATTTACACCAATTGAGGATCAGAGCCCATGTTCTGTTGTCTGACTCTCTGCTAGCCCTGCCGCAGACACACTAAACCCGTGTCCTTGAACAAATCTATGTATGGTACATCACACCACGAGAAACTCTAATGTTTGCTTAAAAACAGTCAAGATTTTTAACCTGACTCTCCCAAATGTTTAATGCAAACAGAACAAATAAATCCCCTAAATCAAGCCTATTTACAGTACAGTAAAAAAAAAAATCAAAATTGTCAAACATACAAGCTGATAGTGACTATTTCCAACACACCTCTGAACAACATACTAACCCACAAAGACCTTCCTACTAAGAATACAAAAAGAAGGATTCTGGGTGGACTCCTCCTGAAGGTCAAAAACAGACTGGACTTCTACATAGAGCGCTTCTGCTGATGTGCACAGGCTGAAATTGTGGAAAAGCAGCATCACTTGCCCCATAGCCTCAGCCGTGCAGAACACAATGCCATCCACAGCCTCAGAAACAACTCTAACATCATAATCAAAAAGGCTGACAAAGGAGGTGCTGTCATCATCATGAATAGGTCGGAATATGAACAAGAGGCTGCTAGGCAGCTCTCCAACACCACTTTCTACAAACCACTACCCTCTGATCCCACTGAGGGTTACCAAAAGAAACTACAGCATTTGCTCAAGAAACTCCCTGAAAAAGCACAAGAACAAATCCGCACAGACACACCCCTGGAACCCCGACCTGGGATATTCTATCTGCTATCCAAGATCCATAAACCTGGAAATCCTGGACGTCCCATTATCTCAGGCATTGGCACCCTGATAGCAGGAGTGTCTGGCTATGTAGACTCCCTCTTCAGGCCCTATGCTACCAGCACTCCCAGCTATCTTCGAGACACCACTGACTTCCTGAGGAAACTACAATCCATCGGTGATTTTCCTGAAAACACCATCCTGGCCACTGTGGATGTAGAATCCCTCTACACCAACATCCCACACAAAGATGGACTACAAGCCATCAGGAACAGTATCCCCGATAATGTCACGGCTAACCTGGTGGCTGAACTTTGTGACTTTGTCCTCACCCATAACTATTACACATTTGGGGACAATGTATACCTTCAAATCAGTGGCACTGCTATGGGTACCCGCATGGCCCCACAGTATGCCAACATTTTTATGGCTGACTTAGAACAACGCTTCCTCAGCTCTCGTCCCCTAATGCCCCTACTCTACTTGCGCTACATTGATGATATCTTCATCATCTGGACCCATGGAAAAGAAGCCCTTGAGGAATTCCACCATGATTTCCATCCCACCATCAACCTCAGCCTGGACCAGTCTACACAAGACATCCACTTCCTGGACGCTACGGTGCTAATAAGTGACAGTCACGTAAACACCACACTATACCAGAAACCTACTGACTGCTATGCCTACCTACATGCCTCCAGCTTTCATCCAGACCACACCACAAGATCTGTTGTATCGTAGAGCTTGGCTGTAGACAACCACAATTGCTCCAACCCCTCAAACAGAGACAAACACCTACAAGATCTCTATCAAGCATTCTTACAACTACAATACCCACCTGCTGAAGTGAAGAAACAGATGGACAGAGCCAGAAGAGTACCCAGAAGTTACCTACTCCAGGACAGTCCCAACAAAGAAAATAACAGAACGCCACTAGCCATCACCTTCAGCCCCCAACTAAAACCTCTCCAACGCATCATCAAGGATCTACAACCTATCCTGAAGGACGATCCCTCACTCTCACAGATCTTGGGAGACAGGCCAGTCCTTGCTTACAGACAGCCCCCCAACCTGAAGCAAATACTCACCAGCAACCACACACCACACAACAGAACCATTAACCCAGGAACCTATCCTTGCAACAAAGCCCGTTGCCAACTCTGTCCACATATCTATGCAGGGGACATCTTCATAGGGCCTAATCACATCAGCCACACTATCAGAGGCTCGTTCACCTGCACGTCTACCAATGTGATATATGCCATCATGTGCCAGCAATGCCCCTCTGCCATGTACATTGGCCAAACTGCACAGTCTCTACGTAAAAGAATAAATGGACACAAATCAGACGTCAAGAATTATAAGATTCAAAAACCAGTTGGAGAACACTTCAATCTCTCTGGTCACTCGATTACAGACCTAAAAGTGGCAATTCTTCAACAAAAAAAAAAAACAGACTCCAATGAGAGACTGCTGAATTGGAATTAATTTGCAAACTGGATACAATTAACTTAGGCTTGAATAAAGACTGGGAGTGGATGGGTCATTACACAAAGCAAAACTGTTTCCCCATGTTTATCACCCCCCCCACCCACCGCTGTTCCTCAAACGTTCTTGTCAACTGCTGGAAATGGCCCACCTTGATTATCACTACCACAGGTTTTTCCCCTCCCCCCGCTCTCCTGCTGGTAATAGCTCACCTTTCCTGATCACTCTGGTTACAGTGTGTATGGTAACACCCGTTGTTTCGTGTTCTCTGTGTATATAAATCTCCCCACTGTATTTTCCACTGAATACATCCGATAAAGTGAGCTGTAGCTCATGAAAGCTTATGCTCAAATAAATTGGTTAGTCTCTAAGGTGCCACAAGTCCTCCTTTTCTTTTTGCGGATACAGACTAACGCGGCTGCTACTCTGAAACCTGAATTTATTTTATAATTCCGCTCTTTCTGATCTCAATAATCTTAGGGCTACTCTATGAACATCCCAAACAATATATCAGTCAAACTCTGTTTGGCTGGTATTTTAAGGATTAATTTAGATATCAACTAAATCTCCATTTTAAATCATCTCTGTATGTAAGCAAATAGAACATTAGCATCTGTAACCTGGTAAATACATAACTGATGTTTCCCTACATACCTCCAACCAAGTGTCCGCTCTTCACTATCAGCAGAGAAAAAAGGAAAATGGATATTAGCTCAGAGCAGAGACATTATAAAGCTCAAATCCCTCACCATTGGTTAAAAGATCTGCATTATAACAGATATTTTAGACATCACCAGCAAGACTAGATTCTCATTCAGCAACTGGGAACATACCTTTCATTCCTGCAGATCCAGGTTCTCCTTTGGGTCCTGAGGCTCCAGCCATCCCAGGGCATCCTTGGAGAACAGCAAGTTTGTCAGAACCACTGAGACCTACTATCCTCACCTCTGGAGAGAGAAATGAACCAATAAACGACACTTGTGAGGGTCTCAGGATGTGAAATATTCTGTAGATTCGGGGGTGGGGGGGACCTCAGCAAATTAGAACCTATAGATCTCATCTGTAGAGTTAACCTATAGTTTATAAATTATATAATAATTTGAATAGTCATTTAGTTGAGTTTGTTAACTGCATTTGTTAAAGTTACTCATCACTATATATGTAGTTCTCTTTATGGTTTCACATTTCTCATGAGGCTGCTATGAGGGTTCTGGATGCTTCAGGACAATATGGTAGTTAAGTTGCCTTCTGCAAGTATTTGCTATTATTTAATATCCGTGACAGCCAGTTAGAGGCCTCAGATACCTGTGCCTCACAAACAAGTGTTAATGAATGCTTGTTTTCTTGTTTGTGAACAGCAAGCCATGAGAGATCCAAAACCTCATTGGTTCTGCAACATCCTAACTATCAAAGTCAAAGTTTAAGTTTCTTTCCATGCTAATTAGGGAAATATAGCACCATAGTAATATGTACATGTGTCAGTGTGAATTTTAATCAACGTTGCATAGTCTCAGCATTCTTAACTCAACACTCACTCCAGTGCTCTGAACAACTGAGCGGTTGGCCATCAAATGAATGTCATTTTGTGATGGTTCCAGAGAATGGATCACTGGTAGTATACACACAGCAGCAACATGCTAATGGCTAATGGCATTATAGTAATTAGACAAAACAATTCTAGTAAAAAAGAGAAGTCCTGGTTTAAGGCTATTATAGTTTCAGGACTGTCATTTGCTAACTGGCAGTTCCATAATCCACAGAAAAGTCCAACATCAGATAGGAGATGATGAACTCTACAACTCACTATTAATAACAAAATTATTTTAAGGAAGGAACCAACCAATTAAACGCAGATTAATCTGATCAGTTCCACTAGCTCTGTGGAATATGGCTTAGTAATAAGGCTATTACGAGAAGCTGTGATTGGGTTTGTTTCCTACTCACCTGGGCAGCTGTCCTCATCCACGCAAACCGCTGCTGTTATGCAGAGTAAAGCAGTGAGGGTTTGCTGTGCAGCTCTCCCCATGTCTGGTGCTGGGCTCTGTAAGTAAACTCCCCAATTTTTACACGGCAACAAATCTCCAACTTGCCCAAGAGTAAATATTTAACCAGTGACGGAATGCAAAGATTGCATTTCCTGCAGTTCTTCTGTCACAGGGGTGGAAGTGTGAATTGATGACTAGGAAGGAGAGAGAAGTGGAACTAATTATTTAGAGAGCTAGCAGCAGGTCACCAGCATCATTTCATGTGAACATAAATTATTGTCTTTTTCTGACTGTAGAAAATGTGCTAACCTGTCAAGGTTCCTCCCCCACTCTGAACTCTAGGGTACAGATGTGGGGACCTGCATGAAAAACCTCCTAAGCTTATCTTTACCAGCTTAGGTCAAAACTTCCCCAAGGTACAAAATATTCCACCCTTTGTCCTTGGATTGGCCGCTACCACCACCAAACTAATACTGGTTACTGGGGAAGAGCTGTTTGGACGCGTCTTTCCCCCCAAAATACTTCCCAAAACCTTGCACCCCACTTCCTGGACAAGGTTTGGTAAAAAGCCTCACCAATTTGCCTAGGTGACTACAGACCCAGACCCTTGGATCTTAAGAACAATGAACAATCCTCCCAACACTTGCACCCCCCTTTCCTGGGAAATGTTGGATAAAAAGCCTCACCAATTTGCATAGGTGACCACAGACCCAAACCCTTGGATCTGAGAACAATGAAAAAGCATTCAGTTTTCTTACAAGAAGACTTTTAATAAAAATAGAAGTAAATAGAAATAAAGAAATCCCCCCTGTAAAATCAGGATGGTAGATATCTTACAGGGTAATTAGATTCAAAACAGAGAACCCCTCTAGGCAAAACCTTAAGTTACAAAAAAGATACACAGACAGAAATAGTTATTCTATTCAGCACAGTTCTTTTCTCAGCCATTTAAAGAAATCATAATCTAACACGTACCTAGCTAGATTACTTACTAAAAGTTCTAAGACTCCATTCCTGGTCTATCCCCGGCAGAAACAGCATATAGACAGACTGAGACCCTTTGTTTCTCTCCCTCCTCCCAGCTTTTGAAAGTATCTTGTCTCCTCATTGGTCATTTTGGTCAGGTGCCAGCGAGGTTACCTTTAGCTTCTTAACCCTTTACAGGTGAGAGGAGCTTTCCCCTGGCCAGGAGGGATTTCAAAGGGGTTTACCCTTCCCTTTATATTTATGACATAACCCAAATTAACCAACTAAATAATCGGAATAAAGACAGAAGGAAGGAATAGAAAAAACCCACAACTTGTTATGGTCACAGCTGAAGTGGATCCAGTCCTGGTCCCATTGACTTCACTAAGAAGAGGAGCAGGCCCACATAGCTACTCTTATGGGGAGGGAGGGTCGCAAGATTATTGTGGGGGAATTGCGGTACTGCTGCCCTTATTTCTGCACTGCTGTTGGCAACTGCGCTGCCTTCAGAGCTGGGCAGCTGGAGAGCAGCAGCTGCTGGCTGGGAGCCCAGCTCTGGAGGCAGAGCAGCCACCACCAGCAGCGCAGAAGGAAGGGTGGCCTGGTCTGGTGTTGCCACCCTTCCTTCTGCGCCGCTGCTGGCAGAGCGCTGTCTTCAGAGATGGGCGCCTGCCCAACAGCTGCCGCTTTCCTGGCTGCCCAGCTCTGAAGGCAGCACAGAAGTAAGAATGACAATACCACCACAACCCCCCACAAAATAATCTTGTGACCCCCTGCAACTCCCTTTTGGGTCAGGACCCCCAATTTGAGAAACACTAGTCTCCCCCGTGAAATCTGTACAGTATAGGGTAAAACCACACAAATGACCAGATTTCACAGTGGGAGACCATATTTTACGGTCCATGGCGTGTTTTTCGTGGTCATGAATTTGGTAGGGCCCTACTTATTGGAGTATTGCGTCTACGCTGGGCACCACAGTTCAGGATAGAAGGGAAAACACTGGAGGAAGTCCAGAGAAGAGTAACAAAAATGATCAAAGGTCTAAAAAACATGACCTGTGAAGAAAGATTGATAAAAAGGGTGTAGTCTGGAGAAGGAAAGACTGAAGGCGGATATGATAACAGACTTCAAGTACATAAAAGGTCATTATAAAGAGGAGGGTGATAGATTGTTCTCCTTATCCAGTAAGGACAGGACAAAAAGGAATGGTTTTAAGTTGCACCAAGGAATATTTACTTTAGACATTAGGAAAAACTTCCCAACTGTCAGGGTAATTAAGTAATGGCACAAACATTCTAGAGAGGTTGTGGAATCTCTGTCATTGGAGATTTATGAGCAAGTTTGACGAATACCTGTCAGGGATGGTCTAGATAATACTTCGTCCTGCCTCAGTGCAAGGGGCTGGACTAGGGGACCTATCGAAGTCCTTTCTAATCCTATGTTTCTACAATTTATCGTTCGCTTATTTAGTGGAGAAAGTAGAAGGCTTGTCACCTTCCAAGTGAAGACAAGAAAAGACGTTCAGGTATAACAGCAAGTAGCATCATAAAGACACCTATAAACAAATAAAAATGAAGCTTTCCTGTATGGCCCTATTAAAAAAAAAATAGAGTTTGTGATGTTTGCCATAGGTGAAATCTTAGGAATATTAGGAAATATTAGGAATATTAGGAATATTAGGAAATCTTAGAAATATTAGGAAGGCATCAGTGATGACAATATTTAAAGTTGAGTTCCATTTTGCACTTAGAGAGGGAATCGCCCTTTTTGTCATGCATGAAAAAATATTGCATATCCTCCGCAAGCATTCAGCAATTACTCTAAGTGGAGAATGAATTTTCTGATCATTTACAAGTAAATCTGCTAATTTACAAGTTAAAACTAATTAAAACCTGCTCCTTTATGAAACTTAGCATCTGTCTCAGTTTTTTCTCTGTTTCAAATAAACTTAATAATGGAGTAACACAGACGCTTCGAACTTTCCTTGTAGTTAAAATTATTTAAAATCTTATGCATAGACTATCTTTGAAGAAATGAGGTTGCAATTAAGCTATTAATGATTGTTGTATACAATTGCTATAAATATGTGGGCAACCAGGCATGGTGGCATAAATCTCTGATCCCAGTTACTTCAGAAGCTAAGGTTGGCAGATCGCTTGAGCTCAGGGGTTCTGGGCTGCGGTGTGCTATGCCGATCGAATGTCCAACACCACTGACAGTCTGGCCAGCGGGTGGCTGAAGGAATGGCTATGACAGAATGAACAATGTGTTGTGATCGTCACTCTCTCTGTGAGGGCTGATGGACCAGTCAATTAAGGTGATGTGCACAACAGACAAGCTCAGAAAGGAAAGGAGTACTAGTGGCACCTTAGAGACTAACCAATTTATTTGAACATAAGCTTTCGTGAGCTACAGCTCACTTCATCGGATGAGTGAGCTGTGGGTCACGAAAGCTCATGCTCAAAGAAATTGGTTAGTCTCTAAGGTGCCACAAGTCCTCCTTTCCTTTCTGCGAATACAGACTAACACGGCTGCTACTCTGAAACCAGACAAGCTCAGGTATTTCTTAAAAAGGGCATTGTGACATCAGAAGTAACTCAGCCATCCTCCACTGGTCTCTATAGCTAATTTGCATGCAACAATTCTACTGCTTGTAATGACTCGGTAATATGAAGGAGACTAGACACGTGTGCCAGGATGGTAGATTTCTTGGTCCAGCTGTCACTGTTCTTTAAAGGGTCCATTAGCAACATGCTAGCTTGGGCATCAGTGCTGGAAAGTCTCCCTATGGCACTACTGTCTTGGATCCACTCATACCAAGGCAGCATTGCCAGGGGAACTAAGTATAAGCTGAGCCCTTAATGTGCACAGACACTGGGACTGGACTTTCCCCGGTCCCTTTCACATAGCACTGGCCTTGCTAACACAGCCCTCTAAACCTATGTCAGTTGCAAACTAAGGGGCAGATTCACCCATATGCTGCAGTTGCTTTGCACTGCTTTGGCAAAACAGAAGTAAACGGAGCTTAAATAGGGGGTGCACGACAGGAGTTTTACATTGATTTAAAGAACCAGTGAGTCTGTCCCTAAAAATGTTAAATTAAAACAATGATTGGAGGTTGAGATGAATAAAACTTTTAAAAAAACAATGAAATTCCCAGGCAGAAAAGTATATTAACATGTAGTTAAGATTGAGAGTATGTATCAGTGACTTAAGGGAAAAACTATAGCAGGATATTGCAATATCCCCAAAACAATCATTATAAACCCAGAAAAGTCAAAAGTAAAGTGACACTCAAAAGAAAATCAAATGTTTAAATATGGAAATGCAGCATTAAGGCACCCAAATAATCTTAACTCTTCCCAAAATCTCTATAATATATTAACTATAAGAAGGAAGAGAGGAGATTGAGGTCACCGATGAACAATGCAGGAAAAGCAATAAGGTGCCAAATTAAAGAAGTTGTTTGATATTTTTGATAGAAAAATATTTCAAATGATAATTTTTTGTTAAAACTGAAATGCTTAGTGGAAACATATCAGTTATGGCAAAAATGTTCTCAAGAAGGTTTCTCAGGTCCAGGATGGAATTTCAGGGTGGGAAGGAAGGAAGGAATGGGAGTGGGGGGAAGGGGGAAGAGGAGGGGGAAAAGAGATTTGGCCCATAACATACAAAAGCCAGGTGGTTAGAGCACTCACCTGTCATGTTGCAGACACAAGTTCAAGTTCTACAAATCAATATTGTGTAGTGAACACAGCTGTTGTCTTTAGGACCCCAGTTTTATTTGTTGCAGAAATCAGAAGATATGTACCCTATTGTAGGTACTGGGCTGGGCACGCTGGAAAGTGTGTAGTGAATTAGTCAGAGGACTACAGGAAGAGAAAGCTTGGTCTCGTGGTTAAGGCATGTTGCTCCATTTGGCCCAAGGAGCTAGCCAACGTTCAAGTCTTGTGGATTGTTTCTGTTAGGAGGAAAAGTTGATAGGTGCAATCCAGTTTATTTACAAAGCACGTACACTAAGTCCTGTTTCCCTGAATACAGTAGAAACAAACAGGGGGCAGTTTCCTTGTTCACAACTCCAAGCCTTTTT